CAGTGCATTTGGCTGCTCCTTTGGTTCGCGCGAGCCACGTGCTGGCGAAGAGGTCAAGGCCCTGTCTGACCGAGGCGAGGTAGCCAAGGTCGTGTCGCCGTGGCTTGATCCTCCGCAGAAATGCCCTGCGTTGTGAGGCCCGCAGCATGTGCAGGAAGGCGTTTTGGGGTTAATTCAGCCAGCTGATCTGGCAGCCCCAGTCGTCGTACATGATGCCAAATGTGGGCCAGGTCCATCGGAGCTGCTGGAGCGATTGGACGAGTCGTCCGACGGGTCCTCCACCAAACAGGGTCTGGACGTGGTGTTGGAGGTCTCTGGCGAGCCCGCAGAGTGTAACGTCGCGGTAAACCTGTCGCCGCAGGCACAGGAATGCTTCACGCTGCGTGATGGCGTCGATCTCAAGGGCGTGTCCTGGGACGCACACGGCCATGAGAGTCCAGAACTCGACCCACTTGTTCCCCTTGGGGCGGATAGCCGCCTTGAGGGCGTGGTTGTAGGCAGTCTTTGCTGGGCCTGATGGTGCTTGAATGTCGGTGCCCGTGGTGCAGACGCTGGCAGCCAGGGAACGGGCGTGCCGCGCCTTGATAAGCATCGGCGATGGGAGCTTGCCAATGCGCGGCAGGCGGATAGTCGCCCTCCGTACACGGGCGTCTGCGGTGGCCGTGAGGTTAAGCGCGGCTGGAGCCGGCGCTGCCTCTGCGTTGATGTAACCCCCGACGAGCTTGAAGGAATCGACCACACGTAGGGGGCGATCCGCCAGTGTGAGCTGGGTAACGGCGGCGTGAAGCTCGTCGGTGAGCGCCCACCCTGCCACTTTACCAGGGTGAATGCGTTGACCTGAGAATCGATCAAACTTGGCGGTTTCGTCGAGAGATTTCTGCAGCTCAGAAGCGGTGTGGGTAGTGGAGTTGCTGTCGTCAACGAAGGTAATGCTGAGTGATCGAGGAACGTATCGGTGCTGCCTCTTTGTCCACACGCACATGAGCAGCTTGACGTCATCCAGGGACCACGAGCTGCCCTGGAGGTGACCGTTTGTCCTGGCCAGGTCCCTGGAGTACGCTCCGTTCATGCGGATGTAGCGTTTGTGGTGTCTGTAGAAGTTTCGGCGGACAGTAACGATGTCTTGTGGGCACCCCGCGTGCAGCGCAAGGTATAGACAGATGTCCGTGATGAGGTAGTCGAAGCACTTCTGTCGGTCAAGGGCAGCTCCAGCTAAGGGGAGGAGTAAGAGTCCTGGCGTGTTCGATGCGCAGGGCGAGAGAGGTGCTGACATCCCCAATGGTGGCTTTGGGAACAGCGCCGAAGCTCGTGGCATGGGTCCATCCTTGCCGCCAGGTCGTGAGGCTACGGTAGGCCGGCGCGTCCCACGCATACATCCACACGGAAAGAACCGAGAGAAGTCGTTGGTCCGTCGGGAGTTCCCCTCGGCCTTTTCGGAGGCACGGGTTTGGCACGTGCAGGAGGGGCTCGGGGATGGTGCCAGTGCGTTGCGTAGCACGTAAGACGCTGGCGAAGAGGCGGAGGATGTCGTCGGGTAACTCCTTAGCCTCCTTAGTTGTCCAGCCGTCGAGTCCCCCCGCGCGGCGCGGTGGACGGGTGCGAATGAAGTGGATGAGTTGGTCGTCGGTGAGGTGGAAGGGGGCTGCTGGTGATGGCGTAGGCAGCTCTTGGCGGTATTCGTCGTAGAAGTCCGCCCACGTCGGCATAGCTTCAGAGAGAGAGAGAGAGGGAGAGAGGGAGAGAGGGAGAGAGAGAGAGAGAGAGAGGAGAAAGAGAAAAGGAAGAGAGAGAGAGAGAAAGAGAGAGAGAGGAGATAGAGAGAGGAGTAGAAGAGGAATGAGAAGGAGAGAGAGAGAAGAGAGAGAGAGAGAGAGAAGAGAAGACGTGAGAGAGAGAGAGAGAGAGAGAGAGGAAGGAGAGAGAGAGAGAGTAGAAGAAAGAGATAGAGAGGAGAAGAAGAAGAGAGAGAGAAGAAGAGAGAGGAGAGGGAGAGAGGGTAAGAGAGGGAGAGAGAGAGAGAGAGAGCAGAGAGAGAGAGAAGAGAGAAGAAACAAAAAAAAAAAAAAAAAAAAATAAAAAGAGAGAGGAGAGAAGAGTGAGAGAGAGAGAGAGAGAGAGAGAGAGAGAGAGAGAGAGAGAGAGAGAGAGAGAACGATAGAGCTGCTGGTAGTCGTGTTACTGGGGGCATGGTTCCCTCATGCCCCCCCTGCGCCTCCCTCGCGGATGCCATCCCAATTCCCTTCGTCCGCCTTCTCCCCCCCCCCCCCCCCCCTTCGCACCGCCGCCCTTCCCCCGTCCTCTCTCCCTCCTAGTCGCTGCCCCTCCCTTATTCGAGGCTCGCGAGAGCGCGAGAGACGGCGAGAGGGGCGGGGCACGGGGCAGGGAACGATGGGGGGGGCGGATGGGGACATTGAGATGTGGTCGCGGTGGGGGGCGGCCGATCTGGACGAAGGGAGGCGAGGGGGGATTGGGGCGGGGGAGGAGCGGGCGAGGTGGTGGTGGCGGGAGAATTTCAAGGCCTTCCCTCCTGGCTCACGCCACCACCGGCCCCTCCCTCAAGGTCGCTGGTGGTGGAGGGATGTCGGGATGGGGGGGCGGGACGGGAACGACGAAATATGGGAAATGGAAGTAGGAGAGGAGGTGGCGGCGGTGGTGGTGGCGGATCAGCCACAATAGGAATCAATGTGTAAATCCGCAACGAAAGGAATCAGTTTGTAAATCCGCCTCCAAAGGATTCAATTTGCGAATCCGCAACAGAGAGAGAGAGAGAGAGAGAGAGAAAGACAGAAAAAACAAGAGGGGGTAGAGAGAAAGAAAGAGAGAGGGGGGGAGAAAGAGGTAGAGAGAGAGAGAGAGGGAGAGAGAGAGAGAGAGATATAAAAAGAGAAAGTGAGAGAGAGAGAGAGCGAGAGAGAGAGAGAGTGGGAGAGAAAGAAAGGCAGAGAGAGAGAGTCGTCATTAGAAATGGCCAAGAGCGTGGCCCACGGGAGTCCCAAGGCAAAGACTACTAGGCTGTGAATATGTCGGGGTTGACATTCGCTGTGAGCTCCAAGAAGGAAGCCTGCAAGGAAGGTGAACAATCGGACGAGCAGCTTGAAAATTGGCCCATACCCGATTCACTTAGTAGCGTGCGCCAACTTTGCAATCTGAATGGCGCGCTTGTGGAGGTAGGAAGAGCGCGTTCTGTGGTCGCTTGGAGGGGGGGGGTGAAACCTGACCCCCCCCCTGGATGGAGGAGGGGGGGTTCGAACCCCCCCCCCTCCCGTGACGGAGGGGGGGGATTCGAACCCCCCCCCACCCCACCCTTCCTCCCCTGCTTCCCTTATCCTCGGGCCAGCGCTTGCGTCGGCGGCGGCTGGCGGTGGCGGCGGGGACGACGATTTCCTTTTCTGTGCCGGCGCCGGCGCTGGCGCCTTCGGCGTCGGGCGGCGGCGGCGGGGAGCGCCGACGAGGACGACGGTGGTGGTGGTGACGGTGGTGGTGGTTGTGGTGGTGGTGGTGTGGTGGTTTGTTCTGGTGGTGGTGGTGGTTGTGGTGGTGGGAGGTGGTGGTGGTGGTGGTTTGGTGGTGGTGTGGTGGTGGTTTTTGGTGGTGGTGGTGGTGGTGCTGGGTTGTTGGTGGTGGTGGTGGTTTGGTGGTGGTGTGGTGGTGGTTTGTGGTGGTGGTGGTTGGTTGTGGTGGTGGCGGTGGTTTGTGGAGGTGGTGCTGGTGGTGCTGGTGCTGGTGGCGGTGGTGGTGTGGCGGTGGTGTGGTGGTTGTGGGGGACTGGTGGTGGTGTTGGGTTGTGCTGCTGGGTATGGTGGTAGTTGTGGCGGGGTGGTGGTGTGTGAGAAGTGTTGGTGTGGTGTAGTGGTAATGTGTGGTGGTGTTGTGGTGGTGGTGGTGGGATGGGAAAGTGTGGGTGGCGGTGGTGGTTGTGGTGGTGTTGTGGTGTGTGGGGTGGTTTGTGGTGTGGTGGTGGTGGTTGTGTGGTGGCGGAGGTTGTAGGAGGTGGTGATGGTCTGGTGGTGTTGGTGGTGCTGGTGGCGGTGTGGTGGGTGGCGGTGGGTGGTGTTTGGGGTGGGGACTGGTTGTGGTGGTGGTTTTGGCTGCGGGTAGTTGGTGGTGGGTTTGGCGCGGTTGTGAGGTAGGTGTGTAGATGTGTTGGTGGTGTGGTAGGGTAATGTGTGGTTTTTTGTGTGGTGGTGGGGTGATTGGTGATTGTGGTGGCGGTGGGGGGTTGTGGTGTTGTGGGTGTGGGGGGTGGTTTTGTGGTGGTGGGGGTTGGTGGGTTGTGGTGGTGGCGGTGGTTTGTAGACGTGGTGCTGGTGGTGGTGGTGGTGGTGGCGGTGGTGGTGGTGGTGTGGTGGTTTGTGGTGGTGGCGGTGGGTCGTGCTGCTGGTAGTGGTGGTGGTTGTGGCGGTGGCGGTGGTGTAATAGCATTTGGCGGTGGTGGGTTGTGGTAGGTTTTGGTGGTGGTGGTGATGGTGAGTTGTGGTGGTGGTGGTTGTGGTGATGGTGGTGGCTGTGGTAGTGATGGTGGTGGTGGTTGTGTGGTGGGTTGGTGGTGGTGGTGGTGGTAGTGGGTTGAGGCGGTGGTGATGGTGGTAGTGGTGGCGGTGGTGGTAGTGGTGGTAATCGTCGCTGCGTCCCCGCCGTCGCCGGCGCCAGCGCCAGCGCTGCTGGCCGCCGCCAGCGCCGGCGCCAGCGCCAGTGGGGGGGGGTGAACCCCCGGCCGCCCCTTGGGCTGCCTCTGGTCATCGTCGCTGCGCCCCCGCCGTCCGCACTGCTGGCGGCCGCCAGCGCCAGCGCAGGCGCCACGGGGGGGGGGGGAACCCCCCCCTCTCTTGGGAGGGGGGGGGGACAGGGGCTTGGGGGGGAGAGGAGTCCCCCTGGTTTTAATCGACGGCGCCGAGTGTTGGGGGGGGCACACACCCCACATCGAAACGCGCCGCCGAATGTTCCCAAGGCAATCGCCCGTGAAACGCGTTCTCTCGGAGGTAGCGATCGGGTGCGGCATCCGGACTGTGACTCTCGATGAAAGCGGTCATGTTCTGCCCCGTAACTTTCCCGTTGTCCGTGAGCGTCCGGGCCACGCCGTTGAAAGTCTTGTCGTTGAACGTGATATTGTGGTTCAAAGAGGCCGCGAGCCACTTGATGTTGGCATCGCTGATGCGGTTACCCGGCTGGCTCGTAGGTCTTGGAGTGCGCGTCGATGGCGAGGGAGTTGTGCGTGCACTGCTGGACGGGCGCCCATCTGCAGGCGGGTCGACTTAGACCGCAGTTTTTGCCATGCGTGATGCCATTGATTCTGGAGTAAAGGCAGCACTGAACTTCTCGGCGAGGGCTTTACCAATCACTGCTCCTTGCTGTCACAGCGTGCTTCGTCGCGTTCTGCGTCTTCTCTGGCCCGGCGGAACTACTCGACGCAACCCGGTGAGGGAACCTGTCGCGAGGCTTGCGACCATCGTCAAAACCTTCTGCGCGCATGCAGTATTAGTCCGAGTCGTTCCTGAACCTCGGATCATCGTCTCGGTGGTCATTCCGGCCCCTGTCCTAATTGCGCCGGTCATCGCGCCCGCGACTATCACGTCCACCAGTGTCACGCCCACCGTCTCCACTTTCGGAAGGCTGGCGATCGTCGCGGAAGCGACCATAACCTTTATTATCACATTTCCCCATGGCGGTTGCCTTGAGCGAAGCTTGCGGGTGAGCCGGCGCGGGTGCAGAAACGAAAGTTTGTCCGATGCAGTTGCAGCCAATGTGATAATGCAGATGGCAGCGCAAAACACGACAAAACCAAGATCTGATTTCTACAGCCTCTGAGAACTGTTGTGGTAAAGCATGGGCCAATTTGTCCAAGAAACATGGCAGGTTACCTTCCATGGATAGTTCTTGAAACTCTTCATAAGACAGCATACCTGCAATTTCTACCCTGCCCCCATACTTCGCATACGAGTCAGACGGCCGATCAAGAGTGTGCGGAGAGAACCAAAGGAACAGGAAGTGCATCAAGATATGTGGGACATCGTTTCTACCTGCTTTTACCTGCTTTCCAGACCCCCACAACCGAGGACGATTCACATTTTTCAGCAAAAGTCGCTAGCCACGCTGCCAGACTAAAACTTCGATGTCTGTCCATCTGTGCGCTGGGCTGACCGAGACCAAGGAGAATTTAATCGGATATGCAATCGACGCCCTCTTCTCTAGAACATGGTAGCCTGGTGCACGAGAAAAGAGGGGACCATCATCTATATAACTAACGAAGACCTTTGACTAGCATGTCTGGCTGCCAGCTGGAGACTTCATCTCCAAAAGACGAACCCACTAGCGATGACACCGAAGATTCATAGGATCACTTGCGTTCAGGTGCTTACAAAACCATTGATAAGGCCATGCGGGAAATAAGCCCTCCAGCAGCGACGGACGCCCTTCATTTTCCAAACCAGGCGTTCCAGTGCAACGAAACATAATTGCAGAGCCGCCCAAACAGCCCTCCGAAGCTCGACAATAGATACTGGCATGGGTTGGCGGACGGAAAACGACGACAGGGCCAAGCACGCACTGCTCTTACTGCACCAATCGACACCGAATCAACCCTCAACCATGATTCAAACTCGTACGCCCAGTACTTGAACGCCTGAATGACCATGGATGTGCTATATGCCTCATACGCTTGATCTTCGTCGCACACCCATATAGAACGCCATGGTTTCTGATTCACACACCATGCGCACGCACATTCAGAAGACGACGGTTGGAGCGACCGCACAGATTGCCGCATGTATGATGCGATGTCAGTTGCACGCCTCACCTCAAAAGATCCCCTGTTATCATGAGTAGACCTTGCAACGCTTTTCCGATCACCCTGCACCTGCGACGCCACGGTCCACGCACGTAGGAGACGATGCGATGGAGGTATGCGTGCCCAGGTTTCATAGAAGTCTACAAGCCCGAGGGGCTGAAGCATTTGGCTTTTATTTGCGGATACGTGTTCGGGCCTCGTGCGCAGCGCATGCGTTTCATCCCTGCCCGGAGCTTATGCGGGAGGCCAAATATATTGATAGCCAGGGTCAGCACCTTCAGGTCACCCACGGTCATTGAAGGAAGAAACCAGTTATCGGAATCTTGACACAGGAATTTGATCATCATCACATACAATGCCAATCGAGGGATAATCCACTTTGCACGGGGGTCTTTGTCTTCGGGTATCTGAACGAAATCTTTCAGAAAACATGTGACAATATCAGTTTGACATTGTTGCCAGCGTAGAGGTGAAGGTACGTCTGGGGTCTAAAACATCAGTTTTTGTGTAACATGTTTTGAGATACGGAATGGGGCCCGAATTTGACTTAGCCATTTGTTCATTCCTAAACCACCTCTTCAAGTACATAACTTCTGGTAGGCCATCTTGCGGTAGTCCAATCGGAGTTCTTCGTAAGCGATGAATGCGCCAATAATGTTGACAATGTAATCGAAGTCAAGTTATCGACTTTCCAAAACCAAGTGTTATTCATGGCAGAAGTGACGTTGCGATATGAACTCCAATTGTAGACGGGACGGCGAAGAAGACGCAAAGTCTTTCGTACCCATCATGCGGCTGCTCGGCACCGGTGGCGCCACATATTGCACATGCATGCAAGATTCTAGGATGGCCTTCTCGGAGAACGCTGTGGAAAACATGATCAGCCGAATGTGCAACTGAGGGACGTGCTGACAACGTAATAGTCGATCCACTCAGCATAGACCCCGACGCTGACGCTGGACACCAGATACCACACTGACCATGCGTGCTAAACCAAAACGCGCGTGCAGCACGGCGTTGGAAAGACCAGGAAGGTGGCCACCAGATGACAGCTCCCATAGAACAGCACCACAACACAAGAAGATGGACATGTGTTTTGGCAAATATGCACAAGGGGGCCATGCGTCTTGTGTTGCTGCATTCGTGGCGAATGTTGATGCAAGCACTGCTCTGAACAAGTAGAAAGCGCCCAATCTGGGTATAGACAGAGTTATCTCGATCCAGCATTCGACTCTCTAACTTTCTGTGCCATTTTCCAAACTACAGGGTAACTCATACTGCGTAAACCATACGCGCGTGCGTGATAAGCGAATCTGACGAACACGTGGGAGGAACAGACGGCGTACGTTGAGAAAGATATGGACGATGTTTTGGCTTTGACGCTCGAGTGGATACACTGTTTGCCCGTGAGCGTTGACCTCTGGATACGTTACCATGAGGGTTCAACATACGTATGAAATACGTTCCCATCGCCAATCTAGACGGCGCCCTATACACCGGGCATAAACATATTGCCGACCGCGATTCTTGGCGAAGCTGTCGAAAACGAACCCGATGCCCGTAGTTAGCTTTAGGGCGAGAAACCCCTTCAAGATGTTCAAGATGACGTTGGCTCAGACCGAAAGGAGACGATTGGCGATGCAACTGTGCCTTTCCGATGTATTACATGCGTTTGGTAACAACATGTAAACGTTGCACATTCTATACGAGATAAATACTCACATGCAGCATACATGGAGTGTAAGGCGCGAAACACTGGAGCGGTGTAGCTTTCGAGGAACATCGGCAACCATGCTGGATTCATAGTGCGTCTACGTGTTCTGGGTTCATGTGGAGATTCCCGAAGTAAAGCGATAATGTGTGCCACAACATTTGGAAGCATCAAGCGATTGGCCCAAAGGCAACGACGATGGGTACCAACAGACTCAATCAAGAACTCGACAGAATTTCAATACAGAGTTTCCGAATTTTGGTAGCCGGAGTTGCCCAGTGACAGAGAATTGCAGACCACAACGTTGCGCACAATTGTGAAGGTGATTGCGGTGGGTAACAGGACAACTAAAACATATTTCCAGAATGCGTTGCCAACATGTTTGCTCAAGTTGCGAAATTCGTACCATTGTGGTCTCTGTGAACTCGTCTGCAATAACCGTGAACCGCTCCTCTGCAAATTTGAACTCGATATGTTGACGCGAGGTAATGTCCATCGCCCGAAGTGTGCAAACTCTCTGAAGGTCAGGAGGAAGACCTGAATAAATGTATGGAAGAATGTGTAGAGAATCCTGAGCAGAGATTCGTTAATGAGAGCGTTCAGCGGTGAATTGGTTAAATACGGTGCGGATGTGCGAACTAACGAGGAAGTGTGTTTGCGGAGCGATTGCGACTTGTTTGCTTGGAGCACCTACAATGGCGCCATCAATGTCTCTGCGAGCACGCGTGGGCAAACATTGACCTAGGTGCTCAAGAAAAGCAGGCTACGTACCAAGGGGCGTGAACAACGCGAGCATGTACCACTGGAGCCTTTTGGATCATCAAACAGGAGGAGGAGGAGGAGGAGGAGGAAGTGGAGGAGGTTTTTGAAAGGGTTTAGAAGATTCTCGGATTCTCGACGATACGCAGGTGTTTCGGCGGGTTGGGTAGTTTTCGGATCTCGCTTTGCCGTGTTGCCCACTTTATGCGGAAAGGTAGAATTATTGGTTGAAGGCCAGTGCCGAACGTATTTGCAATGAGTGTTCAGTGTTCATTTGTGTTGTCGGTTGTTTTTTGATTTCGGTCCCAGGCCTTTGCATCCCTTCCCAGGCCAAGTGCCCAATTTCTGACCCGCTGACTTGGTACATCTCAGTGATTCAGGTATCTTGCATGCCGTCCTGTCAACTCGCACGGGCGCGAACATAAGATTACGCTTCGTGGTCTGGGCCAGGGAGCTGTTCTTCTCCAGGGAGCAGCGCGAGAGCGCCACTATAGCTTGGCCGCGCGACCCGCGAAGATGCCAACTTGCCTCGGCTCTCCTTCGCGCCACCCCACAGTGAGCGTTCTCGCCGAGCACGTGTCGACCTTTGCCACGAACTCCACGCCTGAAGCGAGGGGCCCAGCCGTGCTCTGCCATCCCTGTCTGCATGTTGGCCCGCGTCCATGGGAAGGAACAGATGGGTGGCAGGGCATGCAGGTGGACTTTTGGGGGAAACGGGGAGGGGAGGAGGAAGGACAAGGGTGTCCTTGGTCCAGTCGGTTCGACTGCGTCGCAGTCGGTTGCGCTCGGTCGGCTCGAATCGGGCGGTTGTTGTGTCGTCGTTGTGTCGTTGCACCCCTCCACGCTGCTTCCGGCATAAGGGTCGGTTTCAGTTTCGTTGTCGAATTTGGGCGGTTTCCGAATGTCCGTTGTCGCCGTGGGCGGCCCCGAAGAGGGCTGGCGTAGACATTCCCCATGAGCACGAGAGGCGCAATCTCTCGGGCACGAGGGGCCCCCCACCGCGAAGTCGCGGGGTGTGACCCACTCGTGTGCTGGCGGCCACTCCTCGTCGTCCTCGGCCTCCGCGCCGACATGGAGCTGTGATCGTTCTGGCTCGATCAGAGGAGGTGCGATTTTTTCCCGTCCCCCGCGCGCTTGACCTGCCGACGTGTCCGCAATTGAAGGCAGGGCACGGGGGCCACGGCTCGGAGAGTACGTAGGGGATGGGCACGGAGAGGAAGAGGGGGTGGATGGGGAGAGGCGAGGCGGCGGAGAGGGGGAGAGAGAGAGAGAAAGAGAGAGAGCGGGAGACGACAGAAACGACAGTGACGAAGGCAGAGGTACATACAGACAGACAGACAGACAGGCAGAAAGGCAGACAAAGGAAGAGGAAAAGGCGTGAGGCGGATACTTTTCAACATGTTTTTGCCTGCGATGAAAATAACTACTCTAATCAGGGTTGGCCAGGACGGCTAGGCCTGGGCTGGCTGGTAGTTCGATGGTTCGTGCGTTCTTTGTAAGTGTACATATATATATATATACAAACACGCACATACATCCATACATGCATACATACATACACACCATACGACCACCCTTCGGGCGATAGGAGGTTGGGGGGAGGCGAAAGAACCAATTGCTGGCGAGTGCAATGGGTGTGATGATGACGATGCTGGTGGTGCGCCCTCGAGCTAGCGACGACGCGTGATGACGATGTTGCGCCGCGATGTGATGTCACCATCGACCCCGCTGTCGATCTCATTCGATCGATCACACGGCCAGCCTTAGTATCGACGGCTCCAGCGACCGATCCCATTAGCGTCATACGGAATGGCGCTGAGTACGATCGGGACACCATCGGGACACCGTGACACCATCGAGCCAAATCAGTGCCACCGCCCCTGCGCTGTGATGGGTGTTTGCTGACTGTGATGGTTGAGTGTTGATGGCGATGTGATAATTGCTCTGCACTCGCGCCATCGCCTCCAATTGAACTGCGCGCCAGTAGCCCGAGCCCGTCGGACTTGGTAACCGAGTCGCTGCCAACATTGCTGATAACCCGACAGAGCCGGGCATAGCTTAGGCCACAGAGCTTGGGAGAACCTGGGCCTACTGAAGCGTTCCCGTTGCTCCTGCGCGCTCGCTGCTGTTGGAGCGCGTTTTGTTTGCGCTTACATATCTTGCGCGTCCTGCCTGCATGATGGACACCACTGCGCCCACACCAAAGGCAAACCCACAGCGAAGACCGATGCTCACCACCTGCGCGGCCGGTCTGTGACACGCATTTCTCCCTTCTGCCACGGCGGCAATAGCGACTCCATGCCGGGCGCGTCTAGCGCAGGCGTTCCCGCTTCTCCCGACAACTCACCTGGCAGAGCCTTGGCTGGGCCATCGGCGGGCCACCAGAACCCGAGTTCAGGAAGTTGGCCTGCAACCTATGCAATGAGCTCCTGCGCGCGCACGTGCACGTGACGCCGTCAGCGTAAAGCGCGGCCCCCCCTCGAAAACCACACGTTCCGTACGGCCACCTGGCGCCAAACAAAATGAGTTTGTTTTTGACGGCATGCGTTTTGATTTGATCGGCGGCGAAGTCGTACACCCACAGACGGCCACCAGTGAAGCGCCCCACCGCGATCAGCGCAGTTCGGCCTACGTTCGGGTCTTCATGCGCACCTGACTCCGAGGCGTGCGACGGCTTTGCTGCAGAACGGCAGCTGCAGTACATGGTGGCGAACGAATGTTGCCAGGCGCTTCGTGAGGACAGGCTGGGCAAAGACACGGGCCCCTGGACCTGTCAAATGCCATCCCCAGTTGGAGACGTGGCCTCTTCCCTAGCGACGGCCTTGGCCGCCGAAGCGACGCTGGCAGCGCCGCATGGCCACGCCAATCCTTGTAGCAGGCACTCGAGTCGACTCGGCTCCATACGACCTCTCCGTGTTAACTCGGATTCGCCTAAGTCCAGTGCGCCTGGCATGGTTGGTCGCTGGCAGAGCCTGGCGCCCTGTTGGTCGCTGGCAGAGCCTGGCGCTCCGGGGCAGCTACACGAGCACTGCAGCGCTGGACATGAGCAGCCCTCCGAAAGAACGGACAGGGCGTATGCGCACAGACGAGCCGACATGGCATCGGCGGCTTCCGAAAGCTCAAACACTCCGCCCCACCCAACATATAGCCCGAACATCGCAGGCCCAATCACGACTGGGACACCACGGGGCCATCGCCCTCACTCGATCGATCTCACTTTTGATATCACTCTAGATCTCATGAGTGATCCCACTATCGATCTCACTATGGATCTCACTATCGGTCTGACTATCTCACCACGGGACACCCACCCGCGGGACACCGACGGGACACCACGGGAAACTATCGGCACACAATCGGGACACCTATCGATCTCGTTTTCGATGCCCCTATCGATCTCGCTCGCTCGATCTCATTATCGATATCACTCAATCGATTTCACTCTCGATTCCCTGACCGCTCTCACGACCGATCTCATTATTGATCTCACGATCGGTCTCACCATCGATCTCACCATCGGACTCACCACAGGACACCACGGGACACCCGCGGGACACCAACAGGACACCGAGGTGACACCACGGAACACCATTGGGACACCATCGGGGTTCCAATCGATTTCTCTTTTGGTAGCCGTATCGATCTCACCATCGGTCTTCTTATTGATCTTATTCGCTCGATCTCAGTATCGATCTCATTAACGACCTCGCTATCGATCCCACTATCGATTCCATTACGGGACACCGACGGGAGAACGACGGGACACCGACGGGACACCAACGGAACACCGACAGGACACCGACGGGGCACCGACGGGACACCAGCGGGACACCGACGGGGATACCGACGGGACACCGACGGGACACCGAGGGGACGGCCACGGAACACCAACGGGACACCGACGGGACACCGACGTCACACCGACGGGACAACCCAGCCACCGCCCGCCCATCGCGGGGGAGAGGCGGACAGCGATGGGGCACCATGTACACATGCATCTAGATGTGAATATACAGAGGCACATACGTACCTATGCGACCACCCTTCGGGTGATAAGGAGGTTCGGGGGGGGGGAACCAACGTCTCACTCGATCGGTCTCACTATCGATCTCACTGTCGATCTCAGTATCGGTCTCGCTCGGTCGATCTCCCTCGATCGATCTCACAATCGATCTCACTCGATCTATCTCACAATCGATCTGACTATCGATCTCACAATCGATCTCACAATCGATCTTGAAATCGATATCACATTCGGTCTCACTATCGATCTCACTATCGATATCACAACCGCTCTCACAATCAACGTCATCATCATCAACAACATCAACATCAACATCATCATCACCAATAT